TGAGTTCTTGAAAGTCGAGGATATCTTCGAGGATGTCTCACCACACAAGAATCTCATACACTTTGAAAAAAATTATAATAAACGAACATAATTGTTTTACAGAGATTGATAGAAAATAAATTGCTCAAATTTCATCTTTAAAAACTTTCTATTTCAAAACTTTTCGATATCGCCTTTTCTAAATTAATCCTTACATTTCCAGGATTATTTTGCGCGATTAATACGCACGATTTGCTAAGAATGCCTGAACGATTATTACGAGATCGTTCGGCTTTTCGAAGCCGTTCATGAACCGTTCATTTTTCGCCACAGATTATCATGCTCCCGTTATACATTCCGCGAATTCTGTCGGTCGTTGTAACCATTAAGCTGACTTGTTTGGGCCCTACTGGATTACACCGGGTGACTCGGAATTTTGATGGTATTGCAACTTTTCTATCTTTTAATTTTGTAATCAGATCCTGGAAACTTTTTCATTTTTATATATAAAACTTAGAAGAAATTCTTTTGTATCTCGACTTTAGAGATTCAGATTTTCTAATTTTAACAGCATGGGAATTCCCAGATATTTAGAATTTTATATTTTTAGATGTCTAAACACATTTATTTTGACACATAATATAGGTCTTTTATATAACAAGAACGAAATTTTTTTTATATATATATAATTTATAATGTTATTGTTAATTTAATTATTATTTTATTATCCTCAGATTTTTATCCTTAGAGTTAACTTTTTAATCTTGCTTTAGTTCAATGAAAATTGCATACTCATTATTTTACTATTGATTTTTAAGTTTTGACGAGAATGAGTGCCAAATAGGTTGTAAATAATTTTCTTTGGCGAGAAATTCATGCTACAATGTGGGCTAAATTTAAGCACGTTCTCAGCAATGGTTTTAATTAAAACCCGCAAAGCGAACGGTAATCTGTACTAATCACGAAATTGATCCGCCACACTTCCAGTTAAATTCTTTTTTTGCCTCGAATAAAAGGGCCGTCGATCCAACTTTTGGAAATTCCATAAAAGATGACAGTATGGCATTAATTAAATTCCTCCGTAATGCTGTAAATCAAACAATTAACGCGTCACGAAGTGACGAGTCTACTTTATATAACTTCACATATATAGCTTCATTTAAACTTTATTGATGAAAAACACGCTTATGAAATTAAGCGAATTAATTTATATATATAGATTTGTTTGTTTCATTTAAGCTTTTAATAGGTGATAAATTCTCTTATTAGTATTTACGATTTAATTTTATACCAATAAATAGTTTTATTGAATATTAATACTATGCTATATTAATTACATTTCTTAATTGAGACTTATAATATTTATAATAATTGAATACTTTTTAATAGTTAAATATCCTAATAAATTTAAAAAAAGATATATTTCCGCATATTTAAGCATACGCAATTCTGGACTTAGTATGTCCATTAGCAAGTGTAATCAATTAGATCTGCTGACCGAACACTGGATTCGTTTCGCCGTTTCGAAGCTGAAGGATCGCGCTAATTGCAGATTTTAACGAGCGCGAGCGTCGGGACGTCCAGCTGCCGCTTCCATTTCCGGGATGTCGTGCGGACATTGTGCATCTTCTCTCTCTCTCTCTCTCTCTCTCTCTCTCTCTCTCTCTCTCTCAGAGATGTCTTAGAAAATCAGGTTAACCTCGCCAGGAATTCCCTTTCGCTCTTTCTCAAACCACTACGTTAAATCGCGTTCGTTTGGCAAAGAAGTTTCCAGGAAATTTATCCTGAATTCTACGAACCACAATCTCTAATTGCGAATTTTATTACGTGCGATTTAAATGCATTTTAATTATAGATATAAAATTAATTTTACGTTGTGGGATATTTTAAATATTACATTATTAAATTGTTATAATAATTAATTGCAATTGATTATCTTTGAAAATTAATTGTGGAAATACGTCAAAGAAATTTAATATCTATACATATAAATCATTTATACTGCTATTTAGTCTTTTATTCACTCATTAAAATGTCAAATATTTATTCGAAAACACGAGAAATGATTTTCTATATTTCTATACCTGTATTTAATGTTTAGTTACTTTTGGAAACTTTCTTTGATATAATTGCAGTACAGCATAGATTATACCTGGTTTTGCAACAAGAAAATAAATAAAGGGCGATGACTATTTAGCTATTCGATGGGAAGAGTCTTGAATAAGACACGAGTAATCTAAAAATATTTTGTCCATCCACGTAGTCCATTATTAGGGATTGTATCAAAAAGCGTATAATGTTTTCTGTAACGCCATTTTGCTACTTTCACAAAATAGATGTTGTGTGTATGTTTCCAATTCATTAAGCATTATATTAAGCAACTCTTTAAATTATTTGTTAATCTTTTTTGTAATTGATTTATTAATTTTGCAAAAAAATTTTATAAAGAAACATTAATGAAAGAGTTATTAAAAAAGAAACTACACTAATTAAGCACATTTCTAAGAATTTGAAAACAAAATGAACAGATTCTCAGGATTCTAACTGTATTTGTTATAATAAGTTCAATGTATAAGCTCTTGTACTTACAGTTATTTAATTATAACTATAATAATAAGAAAAGAAAAATTTTAGTAACAAATTATGACAATATAATCTGCCATATCTATGTTAAATATTTTTTATAAATTAATGTTGTTAGTTTTTAAAATATTGTTCATGTTTCTTTATAGTAGTTTCCTCAGGAATGAATAGATAAATACAACATATTATTTTATATTTTGTTATTCCTGATATAAAAGATTAAAAAGATGTATAAAGAAAAAAAGAGTCCTTCTATGGCACTCCTTTTCTCTTGTTCGTTTTCTCCCTCGTGAACCGCACACGCGAAGACGTTACCATAAGAGGACATCTCCCACCATATCTGGACCTCGACCTCTCTCTTTCTCTTTTTTTTCCTTCTCTCTTCTTTTTCTCTGGGACTCGCAGGCCCCAGGGGTATTTTAAAGGGGATTGTAACTCGCAGATACTTGTAACTTGTAAATACTAACGTATATTTGTATCGGCATTTAATTAATTCCGATTTTTAGCGAATTGTCATTCTTTTCTAAATTATATATTTTTGTTTTATGAAGCAATTTAGAAACCTCTCTTGTGATATTTAAAAACCAATTTATTAGCAAGATAAATGTTAATGATAAAATTGTATACATTAAATTTTAATATACTTAAAAGCAATACTTACTGCAATCGATAAAATCGAAGTAGAAAATTGGCATTTGCTTTATTGTAATCAGCAAAGATAGTTACTTTACACACACACGCACACACACACACACACACACACACATATAATGAGAATAGTTTTCCACTTTTAAAAATAATAAATTTCTCAAATACGTGATAAGATGAATCTAATTTCTAACTGCCAATTATAAATTGTATTATTCAAGATATTGTACATGTATCAAAACTTAAATATTCAATTAAAATCGAAATGGCAGATTAAAATTTTCAAGTGTCGAACTGAAAATTTTACTGAAACTGATTGAAGAAATGCGTAATTCTGAATCGCAATTAAATACAGCACGAACCACACACGCTGTTCTTTACAATGATCCTTTTACACATTCAGTAAGGAGGAGATAGCGGAATGCATTAAAAAGCATCATCGCCATTTACGGTTGTCATCTCACCAGGATAACTTGGAACTACTCGTGGTGAACTTCGCCTTTTGCGATGAGCTGCGGCTCTTTCTGGAGATATCCTTTTTCAAGACTAATGGATCGTGATAAGGATTCAAGTCTCGATAATACAACGTTTAATATCTGTTCCTCTCGCTTTCTCTCTTTTTTTTTTTCTAACTTAAAAAAACGAAGGCTTGTAGCGTGACATGACGCATTCCGATTAAGTTGTCAAAGGAAGCGATTAAGACAGAGTGAAGGTCCGACAATTATAAATGAATTACAAAATATTTTATATTTCTCATACTTTAATTTTAATTCTATCATATTCTATTTAATTTTTAATATCAGTTATTCTTTACATAATTCTTTTGGTTGAAGTTTTTTAATTAAACCGGAGTTCTAATTTAAATTCTACAACTGAATAAATGGCGTGAATAAATGTTACTGTGTAGTTAAATTTGTCTTACTTGTATAGCTAATTTTTTAATGCGAAATTAAATAATTTTCAATTTCTTATGAAATATCATTATAATTATAGATATATCAATATGAATTCTTGAATTTAGTGTCTCTAACTTCTAAATCATTTCTTTATTTTCTTTTATTTTCTTATTAACGCTTTCTAATTTTCTTGTAATGAACTTTATGATTAAATTAATAGAGTAATATCTACGTTTCCGTGACCAGGTGAGTCATCGGCTCTTTCTCGTACTACCCTATAGTGCCTTCATGCCTTGGCACGGCTCGTTTTCTGGGCAAAAGCCGGGATCAGAAACAATGGAAACGGGAGGTCGGTGGGCACGCGTGTGTAAGGTAGCCATGATCACGGCGGTCACGTTTCACTCTTGCGTTATATGTATCGTGTGGTGTACTGTGTGAAAAGCCAGCAAGGGCTTTTGTATGCACCTAGTCGAGGACATACTATACTCTTCCACCTTTCCTCTCCTATTCCTCTTCACTGTAGAGGATGTTATCTATACCTATATTCGGTCTCTGACCGAAACAGCAAAACTGATTCTTGTTAGGTGTCGAAAACTATTTTTGAAATTTGCATCTTCACTGATAAAGAAATAATAAGAGAACTTTCTGGTTATATTGAAAAAAATTCAAATACATATTATATTTTATATATTACGATCGAAATATAACATTGGACATTTAACTTAATAATTTGGAAATCAACTTTGAAATTTTGACTTTAGCGAAAAGAGAATAATTTAATTATTAAGAATAAAAAATGTATAAAGTTTTACAAGAAAAGCTGTAAGTATCACATGTTATGAAACTAAAAGACGATCAATAACAAAGCTTCGCATTGTGTTGTACGTGTTACAGGTTGAAAACGTGAGTTTGTGCGTGGGAGCACTGCGGGCTCTGGGGGCGGATGTAGGTGCTGTGAACCCGGGTGAATTGGCAGCAGGATCAACCCTGTGGCCGGTACTGGCTTTGCTCTTCGCCCTGTCACGCTACAAACAGCGAGCCAAGCAGCTACAGGATATGCCCAGGTAAATCACTTTCGGCAGAAAAATCGATTATCATAATGATCATCTAATGATGAAGGCATTAAGTTGAAAAGAATATGTATAACTTTGAGAACCTTTAAAAATAGATCTCAGAATGTTTGAAACTGTGAAAAAAACTTTGAAATTTTTGTTTCTCAAATTTATAAAATCTTAATTGACTTTTAAGAAATTTTGGATTTTCAAATATTTGGGTTATTTTTTATTGTTATAAACAAGCAAACTTTCAAGATCTAAACATTTTGTTTTAATACTTTTTAAATTGTCGAGTTTGGTTGATTTTTGAAATTTACATTTGAATTTATATTTTTTTTCTATTTAGATTATAGAACTTTTTTTAAATTATAAAATTTTTTATAAGAGTTTCTGAAGTTTTTAAAGTTTTAACGTTTAAGATCTTTTAAACTTATATGTATTTAAAATTTTTTTTCTTCATAATCTTTGCCTTATTTAGATCCACTTTTTTATTTTTAAAATTTCTAATCCTCTTTACCATACCATTAATGGGTAACCATAAACCATTACCGACTACGGAGACTATTCGCAATCCGACCTTCTGAAACCGACTATCAGTTTACTGTATAGCCTAACGTCGGTAAAATGGTGATGTACGAATCTCTGAGGATTTTCTGTAGATATATACAAGATCTGTTATAGTAATCGGTGATACTTATTTATCATGATTTGATAATTTGGAATCATAGCTTTATCAATAATTATAATATCATTATTCAAGACCATAATCAATTTTATATTTTCTAAATATTATTTATGCAGCATGTTTATCAATGACTGATATAAAGTTGAATTAATTTTAACATCGACTTAATTGGGAGGATTCCGTTTGCCTACAATCCCGATTGCACACACCACTCATTAACTGGTGCCTAGTAATTTTTCGCTGTTTTACCAATGAGAATATTTTATTTTTAAATTAGCCAATTAGCGATGCGTAACACGCGATGTGTGCAATTGGAGCCTTCCCGACTTAATTACTGATTCTTCCATGTTGATCAACTTTTATGAGTCGAGGATATATTACATAAATGAGTAGGAACGTTTTAGATTTAATAACACAGAACGTTGGAAGAAAATTTTTAAGCGCAATTCGGCTTAAATTTAACTTACGACCTCAGGACTCGTTTCTTGATGGTTTTCGACCGCGATCAAGTTATTACAGTTCAATAAAACCGTTAAATCAGATTACAGTGCACCTTTAAATGATGAGAAATACATATCAAAAGTTAATGAAAACTTAAGAAGCTTTTATATATTAACACTCACACAGAAAGTTTTTACATTATTCCAATATTTTGACATAATACGATTATAACATGTATTTAGTAGTTGTTTCGAAAATTATTTTTATTTCAAAGAAAACCACTTTCTAATTTTAATAGCTATGTTATTGTAATTAACATTAAAACTTACGTATCTTATGAATTGTTTTATTATTGTTACATATTTGAATTTCTAATTTTTTTTTTGTAATCTTTCTTTTTTCTTAACCAAGTTCTTTATATTTATTTTTATCGAAAATTAATTCTTTTAACTATTTTATCAAAAAAATTTATTTTCTTGTTTTTTTTTTTCGCATGATTTGACGCAGGCTTTGTTTGGTGCAGCATTTGTATATTTTATAGTGACCCGGGATCTATGTCGAGAGCTTTGTTTCCTGTCGCGCAGTCGAATCGATACCAACGTCCTGTGGAACGGCGGCTGGGCAGCGGCGTTCATTAACGTCTGCGTTAATCACCCAGCATATTTCCCTCTTTCTCTTTCTTTGGCTTCCTCGTCTACTTCCTCGCGTTGTCGATGTCGAGTAAAGAGCATACAGTTATACCAATGTTTCGGCACGCAGAAAACGCGTTTTACGACCGAGAACGAGCAATTTCAAATATTTTAATTACGCTGCAGTTAATTGCAACAACCCAGAAGAGAGAAAGATGGAAGCGAAACAGAGAGAGCGAGAGAGGGAGAGAGAGAGAGAGAGAGAATATGATATTTATTATATTTCTTAAAATTTTTGAATTAACGGATAATTTACAATTTTTAATAAAATATAAAATATTAAATTATAAAATATCAGAATCGAATAAACAAAAAGCTAATGTATAAGATTAATGTAAAATTACAAAATATAATGGAAAATTAATATACTATATTACTTCTCTCTCTCTCTCTCTCTCTCTCTCTCTCTCTCTCTCTCTCTCTCTCTGTCTCTCTTCTCGTAACAATAAATTAAAGAAAAGATATGCAGAGATAAGAGAAGAAAAAGAGGATACAGCTCTTAAAAGTTATTTTAGGGGTGACTGACTTTGCGTTCTTATTAATCGTTCGTGGACGTAACTTCACACACGGCGATGCTGTGCGCCACAAGTCAAGGTCGATGTTTTTAAATTGTAGTATTTTTTTGGATTAAACAACGAATTACTTTGATGAATAATGTCCCTAAATTGTATCTTAAATAATTCGAGTAACATATCTAATAAAATCTGCCCAAACTTAAGATTGAATATTAATTAAATTAAAATTTTTTTGTTTTTAA